TTCCTGTATCCTGTTCTTGATGCTGTTGATCTAGGATCCAATGGGAGTGTTTAAGCCTCTGTATCTAATAAATAAAATCTCAGGATTCAACCTTCTCTTGCTGTTGACAGTAGGACTGAACTGTTTTCCTTATGCTTAACCTTAGTATTTTCCATGTTACTGTGGGGAAATGTTTCTGGGGCAGAAACATCCTAGTTCCATCTCAGTGGTGGTGATTTTATGCTGTTTTCTTCTTCATAATACCCTAATGTAATGTATCTTACCTTCATAAAACTTACATTCATTTATTCAGTAAACCTTCATTGAACATTCTATACTAGGCTCTGAGGATATAAAGATAAAAAGAAGTAATTCCTGCCCCCTGGGAACTCACAGTCTGGTCTGCAAAAAGACATACAAACAACATTTACTGTAATTAGGATCATCATTATGAAGTTCATACAAGATAATCTAGAATGTGGAGGAGGGAGTTCATAATTCTGCAGATAGCCTGTTTGGAAAAGTTCAGGAAAAGATTCACAAAAGGGATAATAGTTGTAGTGAGATGAGTAGGAACCTTTACAGCTAAAGAATTGGGCAAAAGTATCCCAAGCAGAGGAATAGCAAGTGTAAATCATGAAAACTTGAGAGGGCATACTGTACTCAGCAGTTTGTAAGTTTATATTCACTTGAGCATTTAACCCAAATAAGCTCCTTGAGACCAGAAACTTAAATCTGTTTCGGTCACCATTGTATCCTCAGTTTTTAGCACAATGCCTGGAACGTAGTATTTAATTTAAAAAAATCTTTTTACAAACAGAATTATACAAATCTTCACAATGGTCCACATATTTTCTCTCACACAGTCTCCTTCTCACTCCACTTTGCAGCACCTGATGTACCTCGTTAGAAACCTAGACTCCAAAGAACACTGAAAGCCACTGCAGCAGAACATAATATATCAAGATTTTAGGAGTGGGTTTCTTTTTCACATTTATATTTTAGAACAACATGCATAATCAAAGCTAATAATACTCTGTTTTATTTACTCTTTTATTTGCCTCTAAAAAACATCCACACATAGTGGTGAACTGATTTTTAACCAGTTTTAAATAGAAGGCATTGAAAAATATTTATAATTGTAATTACTAAAAGTATTTCTCTTTGCAATTCTCTTATCTGTGTTTCCAGACCGGTTGGAGGGTGACAGATCAGAAGGCTCTGGTCAAGAGAATGAAAATGAGGATGAGGAATAATAAACTCTTTTTGGCAAGCACTTAAATGTTCTGAAATTTGTATAAGACATTTATTATATTTTTTTCTTTACAGAGCTTTAGTGCAATTTTAAGGTTATGGTTTTTGGAGTTTTTCCCTTTTTTTGGGATAACCTAACATTGGTTTGGAATGATTGTGTGCATGAATTTGGGAGATTGTATAAAACAAAACTAGCAGAATGTTTTTAAAACTTTTGCCGTGTATGAGGAGTGCTAGAAAATGCAAAGTGCAATATTTTCCCTAACCTTCAGATGTGGGAGCTTGGATCAAAGTTGAAGAATAATCTTCATCATAGTGAAAATGTTGGTTCAAATAAATTTCTACACTTGCCATTTGCATGTTTATTGCTTTCTAATTAAAGAAATTGGTTGTTTTAAGATACCCTGAATTTGACTTTTTATTTAATGCCTTGCTCTCTCCTGCAGCATACGAGGGCTGTTTTTCTAAATTTTCTAGATTTAACAACTTTTTCCTTTTGTACTTATGTGGGATAAAATCATATAGAAGGACTGTCTTCATTTTTCTTTCCAAGATACAGCTGACCCTTGAACAACCCAGGGGTTAGTGGCACCAGCCCGTTCACAGATGAAGATTGATGTATAACTGTTGATTCCCCAAAAACTTGACGAGTAACAGCCTGTTGATTGCAAGCCTTACTCATAACATGGTCAATTAACACATATTTTGTGTATTATATGTATTATATGCTATACTCTTACAATAAAGTAAGCTACAGAAAAGAAAGTTATTAAGAAAATCATAAGGAAGAGAAAATATATTTACTATTCACTAAGTGGAAGTGGGTCATCATAAAGGTCCTCATGTTGAGTAGGCTGAAGAAGAGCGAGGCGTTGGTCTTGCTGTCTCAGGGATGGCAGAGGAAATCCACATGTGAGTAGCTCTATGTAATTCAAACCTGTGTTGTTCAAGGGTCAACTATACTTTATTTTTACCCCTAGTTGTCATCTCTCCTGACGAGTGGAACTTCATTATACAGATACAGGAGTTAGTCTTCAGGCAGAAATCACTGAGAGCATCATAGGTAACTCACATAGTAGTGTAAACTAGCCCTGAAGGAAATGGCTCTGGCCTACCTCTCACTCCAAATTTTAAATTTCACTGCAGGTTACTGGTCATCCAGTCTTCTAATTTCTGCTCTTTCTTAACTCTAGTATCCACCTCCATTCAAGTCATCTACACCCAAGTCATCGACATATCCTGTAGGTTATGACCTGAAACTGCTCCTGCAGACCTAACCCTTCAGTCATCGTCCCTCACTTCTACTAAATTTTCATTCTGCTGGCATCTTCCCCTCAGTCTGTTCACATACTCATGACTCTTCAGTCCATTCACAAAATAAGTAAAATCTTTTTTCAACAACAAATTATTCTCTATATACTTTCTGATGTCTCTCCTCCTCTTGTCATCCAAATGAGCATAGTACACATCCATGGCTTCTCTTTGCTACTTTCTTGATATACAAAGCTGACTCCAGAAGTCAGACCTGCCAGGTGGGAGTGAAGCAGTTAGTTTGCTGCTTCATAATATCTCGGAGGCAAAATCACAAGCATGGCAATGTTGTGTGTCGTGGTCCATGATTTCAAAGGCATGCTCACTGTCACACACACCCTCAAACACATGCTTGGCATTTGCTATTGTAGGTTTCTGGGATGGCACATCATTTCTCCCTTTTTGAGGGAAGTCTTTGAGCTTCCATTCAGCGGGCTGTTGGGAACTGTCTCACTTGTGAAGACAGAGACTTACCCCAGCAACTTCTCCATGACCTGTAGTCCAGGCGCTAACTGTCTTCACTATACCTCCTTGCCAGCCAGCAGCTGGAGAAGACATTGAATTACATGCCAGACTGATCACTGAGCCCATCTTGAAACAGCCATTCAGTGCTGATTCAAAATTATAACACTGATACAAGAAAGAAAATGTTGGCGTTGTCAAGGTCAGAGCTGTGGATCATGACAGCTTATCTATCACCATCAGCACCAGCCTTGAGCTCTAGCTTTTGATCACACTCTGGAAGCGGATATCATACCACTGGTGACTATACACAGTGGCTGAAAGAGGCCGGAGCGAATGCAAATCTGATGGTTTGCCATGGTCATCTCAAACCTGTCTGTTAATGCTTTTAGTGTTTGTGCTGTAACAGCTGCCCTTTTTTGTTGAAAGTAATACATCTCTTATTGTTCAATTAGCAGATAGTTGAAAGGTTCCTATTACTTTCAGGAATCTAAATATCTTGGAGAGAAAGGACAAAGTCAGATACTGAGAGTAAGATATAATATCTCTCTGGCTGAGCCACAACTGGTCTCAGACTAGTCAGTCAGTCAGTAGCCAAGCAGGGCATCCCTCCCATATGGAGAACAGGGATCTCTCCTCCACAGCCAGAGACACCTGCTGCTGAGAAGATGGGTTAGCTTTTTGTATAGAGGAAAAATAACTGCAGTAGGTTATTAATAAGCTGAGTAGGTTCAACTGGACTTCAACATCCAGCTTGACAAAGCCACATATGTATCCACATTAGGAAACGTGGTAAATGGTCAAGAAATCAGCTTTAGCCAACCAAGGTCACTTTATGACTTCTGGGAAGTACAAGGGTCTTAGTTTCTGGTTTTTCAGTTATGTACCTTGCTCAAGCCACCTGACTTCTCTGGGTTTGTTCCACCTCTAAAGCGGGGTTGGTCATAGGTTGCACTACCTATGTCACAGGGGCTATGTTAGGGCAAAATGAAGTCATAAGATTGATGGGCTGTTATACAGGGTAACTGAAAAGATGACTGTAAGCCATAAGACAGTAAGAGGGATGTGCTATAGCTGGGTGCTGGGAAATCGACAGGACAGTGGATACTGGAGGACTCAATGTGGGAAGGAGTAACCGTCATAAAAATGGTATTCATCTGCTCTGGTGCAGGATGTTGATGGGGGAGGGAGGGGCTATGGGAACTCTGTACTCTTTGCTCAGTTTTGCTGTGAATCTAAAACTGCTCTAAAAAAATTATTTTTTAAAAAAGTATTTGTTAAATGAACTGGGTCCTCCACCCACAGTGATTTTGCAGAGTTTTGGTGGTGCATATTGTTCAGAAGCAGGACAAGCCAGACAAGCCGTCAGGAGGCACAAAGAGAGAAACATCTACAGAGGCAGAATTCACAAGTGCTGACTGCTTCCAAGATTGGGTGTGTGTCAGAGGACCCCAGAAAGCTCACAGACTGGACCTGAGGACCACCATTGGCTCAGATAAAGGAAATTTCAGTGGTGGCAGGTGAGGGGATCAGGAAAAGGTGGGTTTCATGCCCTGAGGTGGTTCTGAGTCTCAGTGGTAATGATAATCTGCCTCTCGCCCTCTTCGACTTTGATTATGGGATAGAGAATATATCTGTAGATGAGCGGACAGATAGGGCATAGCTCCTTTAAAAACCTTGGGTTAAGAGTACTTCTTGGGCATGGTGAGAAGTAGGTCATTTAAACAGTGCTCCGAATATAATTGCCTTGGAGGAACTGATGAAAAATGCATGGATGAGTATTTCCAGGTGACTGGTATGGGCACTTCCCCACCAATTCTGCAGCAATCCACCCCTTTCTGCTGAGTCTCCCTCGTTTTAGCCCATGGGAAGGGAGGTTAGCAGGAGGGATATGGCTGCCTATTGCCAATGGCAATGGAAGAAAATGGGAGAAAGGCAAAGGCACTCAACAAAGTCCACAGACCACAAGTACAAATTCACCATTCCCACAGCTATACACATAGCAAAAACATATTTAATCAGGTCAACAATTCTAAATACACTTTTGCTTGTTTATAAATATTGATTTATAATAATCCTAAACATTTTTTAATCTTAAAAAAATCCAAAGACTTCAAGTTAAATATATTTCAGGATTAGCTTGGGTTTTTTGTTTTCGAAGGTTGATTTTTAACCATTTCTGCATCCAGGGGTCCATTATCAGAACACAGCACAGTACTCCATCCCTTAAGCATGCAGGTTCCTCCTGCTCTCAGTGTGGCCTTGTTTGCCCGGGCCTGTGATCCTCCCTAGACTGTCTTTTCCTCTGGGAGGGATGACTCACCTGTGATTTGTGGTATTTCAAACTAGTGAAAGAATGAAAAACAAAAGTGGCATTTGATTCTTAAGCTATTAATATTTTCCAGGAAAATGCTTGCTGAGGGAAATGAACACAGCTTTGTCTATATGTTCTCCTAAAAACAACATTGACCAAAATTGTGCTTTTTATAATCTTGTGCAGATTTGAGTTTGTGCTTTGATATTTTCAAAGGAACCTTCAATGTACTGGAAATACTACGGAATCCAAAGTATTTGTTAGATACTTTCCAGTGAGTCTAGTCACTTTCCTTGGGCTTTCAGTATTTTTTAGGTCTGGCCAGCAGATATTAATATCTCCCATGATCCTTGGTTTACAATAGTTCTACCTACTTAATAAAGCCCTGCTGGCCTGTTCTATGATACTGATGACTCTCAACTATCCCTCATCTTCCTTGACCTGTAAGACTGGCTCCTTGCTTTTCTCAGCCATTTGGCCAATACCTGGAGTTTGGCTCTGACTCTGGCTTGAGACCTCAGACAATTTCCTTGGATTCTGTGTCCCCTCTCCCAACCCACAAGAACAATATGGCTCTGCTCCTTCTTGCAGGCATATATGGCTGATCACAACCATTCTCCTTTGCCTAGGGTGAAGATGGTGATTTCCTCTCTCTCTCCCACAGGCTCCATCTGGGGTGCTGCATATATTGTGAGTAGCATCCCTGCCTTGCCTCTTAGGGGCCTGGAGGATTAGGGATTCTGTGAACCCAAGAGCCACAGCCAGGCATTCACTCTGTCACTACAGAACAGAGATTTCCTCAGCAGCCAAGGGCATTTCTCAGGGAGAATGTCCCTTCTGGACTGTAAGGAAGGTCAAGCTGTATTTGTGCTATGATTTGGAATGCTACACCAGGCCCTGGGGGTTTGATCATCTTTGATAGTCATTCAGGACAAATTAGAATTATTTTATTTTTGTATAAACAGGCCAGTGGCATAGACATTTTTAATAGAAAATCTCATTTCGGCTCCCTTAGACCTTTCAGGTTCCAGATGCTACTTAGCCTTTCCTCTCTCCTCTCTATTGCCTTCTCTTCCTCACCACGTCCCTGCTTCCCCAAAAGTCCTTCCTTGCTGTGCAACAAATAGGATAATTCCCATGGCAACAACTTTTAACACCTTCCATCTCGGGTAACAGTTGTCTTTTCAAGATTCTCACTGCGTTATAGAGATCCCTGTAAAACAAGAATACACCCTCCACACAGAGATACTGTGAAGAAACACCAGTGGCTCAGCTTCAGCTGCACCCCAGGAATTGTGCTGCAGGCTTTCCAAGTATTTCCCCATAGAATCCAGACAATCACCCTGCGATGGAGGCCTCCCTCAATTCTGTGTGTCTCCGCACAGAAACAGATGATGGAACTTCAAAGATGAGGAAACTCAAGCAGAAATACCATGTGACTTGCTTGAAAACACCCAGGTAATAAGTGGAAGTACAGGATCTGAACTCACAACTTAACCATACCTGTCTTCACCATCCCCACTATGTCACATCTGCACTGCAGTGAAATGAGAGAAAGCATTTGGAAGTACCTAACACAGCACCTAGCACATCACAGGCACTCAAATGTCAAACAGGTCCGGCCCACAGTAGGCACTCACATGCCAGCTCACTGCCCCCTATTTATAGCCACACCATCCTCAGAGTTTCTTGCAGACAGGACACAGCCAGTGCTCAAGCCTGAACATGTGTCGTGAGTGTATCTTGTGGTTTATCCAGAGACATGTCTAATTTGCAGGTATCTAAGTGGCATATTGTCAGGATGGAAAAATACATAGGTAAATCTGAACAGACTAATAATCTGTCATTTATCAAAGCACATTTCCTCCCTCTCCTGTCTCAACCCAAATTCCTTAGCCTGTCTATTGCAAATATTTAGTCTCACTGGTCGCTCACTTGTTTACAGAAAGACCACATAGTAGCTCCTCAAATGAGAAGGAACATGGGCACCAGATGGCCCTTGTCTTGCACTCCTCAACTCTGCTTCTCCAGGAGCAGTGATCTATCTAACATCACTCAGTGGCAAGACCTGTGAACCTGGATGGGGTCATGCATGTAAGCAGGCTAGCCAGGTCGTCCTTGGTCACCAAGGCCCTGGACTACACGATGAGGGCAAAGGAATTGAAAACAAGAGCGCTCAGCCAGAGGCAAAAAAGCGCTCAGGTTCATCCTTAGCTCTGCACAGCCACGCTGCTGCCACCTAGTGTCTAAGGGCCTGAACATCAGTCTTGGTGCCTCTGGCCGGGGAAATGGCTGTGCTGAGCTGTGCGTGTGCTCTGTAATGTGGGACTCCCAATGCCTTCTGGGTCAAAACCACCCCAAACCTGATATCTGTGGCATAGCACAGGGACCCAGTAAGGCAGAAATCTCAGTGAAAGAAGCAGAGATGGGCAGCAGCTCTAAATGTGGTCATGTCAAAACCACAAGACACAGGACTGAGGTGTTGAAGCTAGTAAGTAGCAAAATGTTTCATGTGCTGCTGTCCATGTGGTCCCATCAGGAAGGCTGCAGGTCACTGCACAGCAGTTTACAGCTAATGAGCCAGGGTTTAGTGGGGGCACATGGGGCTTTGACCTTCTGCACTAATGGCAGATATCCTCAAAAATGCCTCTTGAGAACTTCAGAATGTGTGAAAATTCTCTTTCCTTCTCCCCCACCCACCCCTTCTCTCTCTCTCTCTCTAGCTGAATAAAGGCAAATTTGAATTCCTGAATATGAAAAATATGATTCTAGCTGCCAAACATCCTCCAAGACTTAGCTCAAACTGTCACCTACCTCACGGAGCCATCCCTAACTCCACAGTTGGAAATATCTACCTCCCTCTGAAACCGCACTTCTTTCTATAACCACTACTTGACTTTGCTAGTTATTAGAATCGGTATCCTCCAGGTCCTGCTCCCTAAATGAGAGTGCACACTTCAGTGGTTTTGCCTACAGAGCCTAGCCAGGTGCTTTGCACAAAGTGGATGTGCAGTGTCTGGTAGGTAACTAAATGAATTGGACCTCAGTAAAATATATTTTAAAAAGGGAAATACAGTGAATCCTTTTGTGAAATACAATATTTCTAGATTCATTTAGATTAAATTCTATTATATCCCAGCTAGTGTGGGGTCAGTGGGGGAGTGGGAGGCGGTCTGAGGGTTCTTTCCCTGGAGCCCAATCTAGTACAGTCAGGGGAGCTTTATCCCATCCTTGGGTTTCAAAGCCAAGTGGCTGCACTCAAGTATGCCTATACCTAACCAGCAACCCATCCTAGAGATAAAGGTCTCTCTGCCCTGTTCCACCTCTGTGTACACTAGCTGATCAGGAATATGGTCCCTTCAGAAACTAGACAAGTGCCAGAAAAAATACATACAGAGAATATATATGGAAAACGTGAACTACAAGCAGACTTAGCAATGCCATTCAGTAATGGAAGCGGAGTGTCTGACCTGCACAGGTGAACCTGCCCTCTGCACCTTCCCACTCCCTTCCAGAAGCTAGGCCAGTGCCTGGCACCCAGGTGACCCGGAATAGTTGTTGAGTTCAGTCATCACAGGTAGCAAGACTCCAGGCCTCATGAAAGGTCATTGATTAAACTGCAGACCAGGGGACCAGCTAACCACTGGTTTCTGCCACACAACACAGAGACACTACCTCACCAGGAGCTAGCTAGGCCCCAAAGAAAGCACCACAAGGGTAATTTAATTCACTTTCTAGAATAGCTACCTCTTAGCAGCCACCAAGATCTCCTTGGAATCTACCTTCTGCCAACCAAAGCAGAGAAGTCCTGAACTTATTTATTCACGCAGGCTGAAGGGCGGACGCAAGAGGAGATCCAGTGGCTTCCCCAGGCATCATAGCAATGACTCCAGGACCAAACGTCAACTGCTGTTCCAACTCAAAGGGAGGAGAAGAGAGGTCTAACCATCCCAATCACATGCCTGTGCTTCCCCTTCTGAGGTGGTGACCCTGCCCCTCACGCATCTTGGTGGCTGGCATTCTATCCAGACTGTGCTCTAATGGGCAAGGCAGACAAGGCCACAGAACCCCGATCTGGTCGCACTTCACATGGACATGAGCAACCACATTCCAGAGTTAAACAGAGGTCAGTCTGTGGGTCTGCTTTTGTGTTTTTTCTATCTCTGCTTTACAAATCCAGATAACATTAAAAATGAGAGCTGGAAATGATCTTGGAGACCAAACCAACTCCCCCGTCCTTTTTCCCACTTTATAGAGAACCTAGAAACGTGACAGGATGTCCCAAATGACAAGCGTACACGAAGACAGTGATGGGCCAAGAACCCGGGTTCCTGGCTCTGAGTCCAAGGCTTCTATCTTCTTTTACGCCAGGCTTGTGATAATAGTAACTGTTGCTTTCGGGAGTGTGCCCTGCGGAACCGAAGCCAGCTGTATTTTCATCAGTCACTCACACATCACACATAGAGTCTAATTAGGCTTTCCCATGTAAACAAGTAACAGTTTCTCTATTTCCTGGCTGTGCTTTTCACTAGTCCCATGCAGTCCTGGTAAAACAGTTGTGCGTCTTAAATGGATTTATTTTTAATTCTAGAAACGAAACACCTAGTGTCTGCCATTCCTCCTGTCTTTTATAGTGGTTTCTCCCTTTTGAAATACAAAAGAACTTGTCAGTAGGGCAGTGGGCAGGGTGGGCCCGTCCTCAAGAGGCCTGTGGCTGCCCCTACTAGCACCAGCAGGTGGCGCCGCTGAGGCTGCTCTGAAGCGCTCTGCTCCTGGGTGCTCTCTCTGCGGACCAGTTAGTCTAGAACTCAGGGTCCCACACTGCCCGCATCAACCATGCAGAAGCACCAGGATGGTCGCGTGTCATTAGGAAGTAGCGTTGTGCCCTCCTCCACAGTACACTGAGAGGGCTCTCCTCCTGAGGGCTCTAGCACAGTGCACGGCTGGACTCCCAGCACACAGGTGTGAAGAGGAGAAAATGATGCATGTGGGGATCTCCTTCCAAGCCCTTCGTCTCTGGTCCTCCCGTGGCCCACCTCCCAAAAAGCCACGGCCACATCTCTATATGTGGTTGGTTGGTTTGTTTTTTGGGTTTTTGTGTGTGTGTGTGTTTTTTTTGCTTTAGATGTTCTGGTCCCATCACTGGGACCTAAAAGAAGCTCACATGTGGTCTCTGGAAACGCTGAAGCGTAGACGGTAGACATTATTTTCAGCCCTTGTCCTGGTGGCTGCACACCAGATATTGCTCCTTCCCTGTGTGTGGCCAGCTGTACACAGTGACGTGCTCCCAAGGCGACGGCACAGACGGTGATGGGAACTCCTCCTCAGGCCGGCCTCCCGGGCTGCAGCCCCAAGGCACCCCAGGGCTTCATCTCTGCTCAGCGGCTAAAACATCCCCTTCTTCGATGCTCTGCAGCTGCAGCCTCTGACTCGCAAGAGTTCTGCTGCCTCGGCGGCCCCCAAAGCCAGCCCCTGGGACAGTCCGTGCTGTGAGCAAGACCCCTGGCAAAGCCTCCTCCCCAAATAAGTTGATTTTGGCTTCGGCCTCAATGGCTTTGGCCAAGCTGGTTGCGTAACTGTCCAGCGACTTGTGTACCTCAGCTTTCACATGAAGAATCGAGTTCTTGGCAGTTTCTGAGGGAGAAGGAAGAAAAAAAAGTCAGCTGAGGAGGCAGGCGTGGGGACTACCTTAGGGACAAGCCTGCTGCTGCTCCTCCACCCCCAGGGAGGGAGGCAAACCACAGGTGAGGGCGTGGGTTTCAAAGTTCAATTCCTAGGCCAAAAGCTTTGACTCCCTGACTTCCTACCTGGGCAACCTTGGAAAAAATATTTAATCTAGCCTCAGTTTCCTCATCTGTAAAGAGAAGATAATAAGACAGCTCTTGCTCCATAGGATTACTGTGATTACTAACGGAGATAATTCCAACATGTTTGGCCTAGGTCTGGCCCATGGTAGACTTGATAAATACTTTCTACTAATGCTAAGCAACATTTTCACATCTTTGAAAGCATATTCTGGCCTTTGAGCTCCCTGAAGCAGTGTAATATCTATGTCCATAGGCTTCCACAAGCCTTAATGTCATCTCTCCTCTCCATCTTTGCTCAGAGATTCCCCATGTAGAACCTCAAGGTTGGACGTGACATTACAGGTTCAAGTCCCCTCCCAGGATTAGGAGCCCTGAAACTAACATGAACAGAAGGGAGACAGGGAGGGCCCTCCAATTTCACAACCTGTGCCCTGTTATTATTAACTCACTGCCTATTTCCTCTGGATGTTTTGGCAGAATAATGTATCCTCTCCTCCTTACATTTTCTGGAGAGTAGGCAACCTGTACCCCACTTTTCAAGAGGGAAAGTTGGAGGGACCTCCGGCCGTTTTCTGCCCTGCCACTCGCTCGTGGCAGGAGTCCCTGCTGGGAGGGTGCTATTGAAGCTGCCACCCCCACAAAGCAGGAGTGATGAGCAAGTGTGGCCCTACATGGGCTGGGGGATTGGGGTGTGTTCAGTTCATTTGTTCCTATAGAAGGGCAATATATTACAAAGCCCATGAGGCTGCTGGCCCAAGCTCTGTTCTAGAATCTGCTTTGCCAGTGAAGCGAATGATCTATTATCCACTGTTGACCTCTGTGACGATCTCTCCATCATTCTGAACTCAGGGAGGGGTAGGGGTGTGGAGAAGAGATGGGATTAATCATGAACCTAAAACTCAGACAGAGCCCCTATTTATTTCCATTTTCAACATTTCTGAAGAGCCTCCTGATGTCGTACAGCCCCTGGCCTCCACCACATCCACAGCCAGTCATGCTGGCGTCTGGATGGCTCTTGTCACTCTCCTAATCAGCATGTATGGATGGAAAACGAATTCCAAGTTCCAGAGTAAACAACAGTGCTGGGGGTGAGTGGGGAAGAGATGGGAGGGAAATGTACAGACTGGGCTGCAGCAGAGCTCATTCTCACAGGACCCAAGGGCCATCACCGCCCTAAGGGCAACGGACAAGGAAGATGGCAGCTTCGACCTCCAGGAAAGCAGGTAGACTCACTGGGCCATTACCTCATTTTCCACAGGAGGGAACTGAGGCTCAGGGAAAGCAGGTTCACTTATAGCCACACCTTAGCCAGGATCTGGGCTGTGTGTGAACATGTGTGGGGTATGTGTGTGTAGCCTGACAGCCATCATGTGCCCAGCCTTTCATGCTGCTTGCTCTGAGAGCTGGGTGCCTGAGGACTCAGGTGAGATGAGCAGGGCTGGGAGTAACCAGGCAGTGGGCAAAGGGACAGAGCCCTGGTATGTTCCATGCTAGGAGCCAGTGACAACCAAGGAATTATCCTTAGATCCTTTTGGTTTTCCTCTGTTTTCTTGAAGCAATCAGTCACAGAAACCAACCTTTGATTTGTTCCACTTCATCCTCAAATGTTACCGAGCTCCTTCTCTTGGGTGGGCAAGTGCAATGAGAGGGAGGGCTGTCATCAGACGTGTAGTCCTCAAGCAGCATCACATCTGTCCCTAGAACAACAGGCAGACTGTGCATATATAACTACAGTCCAAAGTCCTCCTGGCCTCTGCCCCCCTCTCAGCACCCCTTCCTCCCCTTTCTCCCGTTCATCCAAACCCATAATCAAGTGCTGCTGATTACCCCACAGCATTTACCCAAGAAATGCCCGCCCGCCATCCTATTGCAGGGAGTTTGCAGACAGCCAGTGAGACTGCTTCAACCACGCAAAAAAAACGCAGCCAACTTATGTGAGGTAGGGGGCTATGTGCCACAGTGACCAGACCCAGAAGCGTGGCATCCGGCATGGAAGGGACATGGGGAGAAGGGCGGAGTCAAGGAGAGGGTCCTATTAAAAGGAAGTTTATATTCTGAGTGATTCTTCTTACAGTCTGAATTTCTATCACCATAGTTAAAATATGGTGTACTAAATAAACATTTAAAGCTCCAAAATGTAGAGCTCTTTGGGGATGAAAAAACAATTGACAAATATACCCCTAAAAAGTGGGGAAATAAAGGCAGAAGGTCAGGGAAATCCTCCTAGAGATAGGTGGGCAGAGCAGGCAGAGGGAAGAAGATGGGGCAGAGGGAAGGAAGGGCTGAGGTGGGACTCATCACTCAACAGTGCCCTGCCCAGACCCCAGGACCAGTGTCAGATCCAGCCCTGTTCTTAGCTTCCAGCTTTCAATCCATCAAGGCCTTGAAGCTCAGAAAATGAGGAAGAAAGGGAAGCCTGGAGCTCTTCAGATGCTGTTTCAGAGCACCTCGCAGAGGTATGATTACCCGACACACAGGAGAAACAGTCCCTTGGGAGGTAGAACACGGTGGTTAAACACACAGGCTGGGGTCGGACAGGCCTAGGATCAATGGCAGGTTATTTAATGCTTCAGTATCTTTCCACGACTGTAAACCGGGGGTCATCAGACAATCTACCCCCTGGAGTTGTGGGGATTTTGAGTTGAGACATGTAACCATCTAGCACAGTGCTTGCACACAGCAGGGGCTAAATCGATGGCTGTTATTCCTGATACAGACACAGTGAACAAAGGGCAGGGCTGAGACTCACACCAGGTCTGTGGGCCCCGAAGCCCATGTTCGCTCTCTCTCACTCTTTCGCTCACTCGCACTCTTCTTCCTTCCTTCCTTCATTCCTCCCTCCCTCCCTCCCTCTCTCTCTCTCTTTCTTGAGTTTCACCCTTGTTGCCTAGGCTGGAATGTAATGGCACAATCTCGGCTTACTACAACCTCTGCCTCCTGGGTTTAAGCAATTCTCCTGCCTCAGCCTCCTGGGTAGCTGAGATTACAGGCAGGCACCACTACCCCGACTAATTTTGTATTTTCAGTAGAGGTGGGGTTTCATCATGTTGGTCAGGCTAGTCTTGAACTCCTGACCTCAGGTGATCCAACCACCTCAGCCTCCCAAAGTGCTGTGATTACAGGCTTGAGCCACTGCTCCTGGCCCATGCTCTTTCTTCTGCCTACAATGCCGTCCCCTCACTCCCTGCCCCGGGGCACCTCCCACTTTTGCTTCAGCTTTCAACACGGCCTTCTCAGAGCAACCTCTCTAACTTCCCTACCCATAGCACCCACAGGTTCCCACACCGCTCTGGCTTCCCCTTTCACAGCTCTCTACACGTTCGTTGTCTTTCAAAAATTGTTTTATAGAGATGTAATTCGCACGCCATGTAACTGACTCATTTAAAGTACACCATTCAACAAGAATTGTATGGTATACTTTACAATCTTTATATACTTTACAGTTCAGTCTTTTATGAACCGAATTCTCCACAACAGTGGCAGTTCACCACTGTGCCCCCAGCACCTGGCACAGGGTCTGGCCAAGGCAGGGACATGGCAACTGTGTGCTGAATGAATGAATGTCACAGTGCCTCTGGATCCCTTTAGTTGTCCGGGAATGGGGAAACGGCCTGGGTAGTGACAGAGACTTTCCTCCCCAACCTCCCCACGTCCCTCACCTCCTCTCCCCCACCTCCCCACCTTCCCACTTTCCCCACCTCCCCTGCCACCCCACCTCCCC